TAGTTAATTTAAAAGGCAGGAGAGCATTAAGCTGAGTAAAATAAGTCAGTCACAATAGGTCAAGCACTGTATGCCCTCACTTACACAAAAAGAAAAAAAATGTAAAGGTATAGAGGCCAAAGTTTCTATGTGGTTACTAAGAGCCAAAGGGAGGGAGAAAGGGGTGAAATATTACTTGTATTGAGTTTCTGTGTATGTTGATGGAAAGAGCATTGTGAGGGTAGGGTTGTACAGCTAATTACTGTAAGTGCTGTCACTAAGTTGTACACTTGTAAAAAGTTGAATTGGAAAATATTTGGGTGAGAGATTTACAGAAATGCCAAAAGAGAAGAAGGGAGACGAGCAGCTGCTGAGGCATCTTGTGTATGCCACACACCTCTTGGGATCTGGTAACCTGGTTTGGAGGTTGAGAGATTTAGAGTCATGATTCCATAGAACAGCTCAGTGTCACAACTATGGAATGGGGTGACTGCTCCATGATTTTTTTAAGAAGCACAAACTTTTTTTTAAATTATTGAAATAAAAACCTCAGAGGACTCCAAAGTAAGTGTTCCAGTCAGTAGGGAGGGATGTTGCCAAACCAAAGGCAGACAGTTCAAATCCATGAGGTGCTCCACAGAAGAAAGATGGGCAATCTCCTCCCATGCAATTTACAGTCTCTGAAAACCCAGGAAGGGTCTGATTTGGGTGGGTTCTGACTCAAAGGCAATGAGCTGAATTTGTTTAAAAAGAAAAATGGAAAGGAAAGGTGACTCTACTTAGTATTCTTTTCCTTACTCTTAGCAATGGTACAAGGTATTCATCAGCTCATTGATAAAGCATGGCTGTCTTGTCAGATGCTTGTTTGGGAGATTGCTGATGCAGACTCTGTTTAAGCACATCTACTCAGTGCCCTTCAGAGCGTCTGTACAGGCGAGGCACACATCTCTAGGACCTGCAAATCCTTAGATTGCACTAAATGAAAGTTTGGAAGGTTCAGCCCACACAGATGTGTCCCAGAATAAAGACCTGGTGATCTACTTCTAACAAGTTAACCACGAACACCCCACCCGGGGCACAGGCCTACATAGTGGGGCCTATTGTGATGCACTTGGACCTACTGTCACACACCTGGGCCTACTGTGACACACCCAGGCCTATTGTGATGTATTCAGGCTACTCTGATGCACACTCACCTACTGTGACACACCTGGGTCTACTGTGATGCACCTGGGTCTACTGTGACACACTCCGACCTACTGTAACACATCTGGGCCTACTTTGATGTACCCAGGCTTACTCTGATGCACTGGGGCCTACTGTGACACACTCAGGCCTACGGTGACACACCCAGGTCTACTGTGATGCACTCAGCCTATCTTGAGGCACACTTGCCTACTATGACACACCCAGGCCTAGTGCAACACACCCAGGTCTATTGTGACTCATCTGGGCCTACTGCAATGTACCTGGGTCTACTCTGATGCACCCAAACCTACTGTGACACACCCAGACATACTGTGATATACCCAGACCTACTGTGACGCATCCAGGCAATTTCTGACTCTCGGGCCAGCTGTGAGGCACTCAGATCTACTATGACACACCTGAGTCTATTGTGACACACTGGACCTACTCTGACATACCCAGGCCTACTGTGACACACCTGGGCCTACTCTGATGCACCCAGGCTGACTCTGATGCACTTGGGCCTAATGTGACACACCCAGGCCTACTGTGAGACAACCAGGCCTACTGTGGCACACTCAGGCCTACTGTGATACATTCGGGCAGACTCTGATGCACACGTGCCTACTGTGACACACTTAGGCCTATAGTGATGCACTCAGGCCTACTATAATACAGCTGGGCCTATGGTGACACACCCAGGTCTATTCTGATGTACATGTCTACTGTGACACACTTGAGCCTACTGTGACACACCTGAGCCTACTCTGTTGCACTCAGGCCAACTCTTACACACCCAGGCCTAGTGTGATGCACTGGAGTCCACTCTGATGCACTTGGGCCTACTCTGACTTACACAGGCCTACTGTGATGTACCCTGGCCTCCTGTGACACACCCAGGTCTACTCTGATGCACCCAGGCCTACTGTGGCACACCTAGGTCTACTGTGACACACCTGGGCCTACAGGGATACACTTGGGCCTACTATGACACAATCAGGCCTACTGTGTCACACCCAGGTCTACTGTGATGTACCCAGGCCTACTGTGATGCACCCAAGCCTACAGTGATGCACCCAGGCCTACTGTGATGCACACGGGTCTATTGTGACACATCTGGACCTACTCTGATGCACCCAGGCCTACTGTGACACACCCAGGCCTACTGGGATGCACCCAAGCCTACTTTGACAGCTTGGTCTACTGTGACACACTCAGGCCTACTCTGATGCACTCACGTCACCATGAGTCAGAACTGACTTGATGGCTACTGTTGTGTTTGCTGTTGTTGTTGCTTACCTAGGGGAAGGGTTTAAATACCTAGGGGAGGGGTATAAATAAAACAAAAATTTAACTTATATAAACACACAAAATATTTTTTTAGACTTTAGTGTGGCATCCACTTCAAAAACAACAGGCCTCCAGAAACTATGAACTTTGATAAATGTCAACAGTTGTAGAGGGGCTTCAAGCCTTTTGTTCACAGGGTCTTTATGAGTAGTGCTTAACTTGAAGGCAATCAACAACAACAAAGGCAACAGTGAGATTTTGTAAAGATTCTAGGAGCTCTGGTGCCTAATGGTAAGGAGCTGCGCTGCCAACCCAAAAGGACATGGTTTGAATTCACCAGCTGCTCCATGAGAGAAAGATGGGTAATCTACTCCCACGAGTTATACAGCCTCTGAAAACCTACTAGGTCAACTAGGAGTGAGTTCTGACTTGACAGCACAAAACAGCAATAACATCAATTTTAAGTAATTTCTAGTTCTTAGATGATGCTGTATGTGCAGGTATGTGTGTAAACGCTGCACATATGTGATAGAACTGTAATAAATTTAAATAAACCTAAAAATATCTTCCCTTACCAATATAGCATGCTACTTGCTAATGCTCAATAAGTTCTTGTTGTTAAGTGCCATTGATGCCTGTGTCGCTCTGAAACCTGCCCTGTCCTTAGACAGTGTCACTACTCTGACACACCTACCCCCCCATTACCCCAGTTACTGTATCAATCCATCTCATCCGGGGTCTTCCTCTCCTGCCCTATCCCTCCACTCATCCAAGTATGATTTCCTTCTCCAAGGACTGGTCCCTCCTGGCCACATGCCCAAAGTATGTGAGATGGAGCTTCAAAATCCTAGCCTCCAAGGAGAAACGTGGTTTCACCTTCTCCAAAATAGACATATTTGTTTTCTTGGTGGTCCATTTTATGTATGTTCAAGACTTTTCTCCACCTTAGTGATTAATTAAGTCAAAGGCCCAAAATTGCGGTCTCTGACTGAAGAAAAAAAAATATTAAGTATTTTAAGTGAACATACATTCAGTATGGACTGGAGGGGTGGGTAGACTGGAGGGTGATATTTAAAAGATACAAACTTCTTTTTCTGGTGATGAAGTATTCTAAAATTCATTGCAGCGATGCTTGAAAACTATAAATATCCTAAAGCCACTGAATTGCTAAAAATGAGTAAACTGAATGGTATGAATTCAATTAGATGGAATTTATCTCAACAGAGCAATTAACAACAAAACATGGATTCAGTGGTACCTGCTGTGGCAGACAGAACTGGTTCTTCCCCATCGGCCCTTACTACAGCTGCCTGGCCTGACTTCCCAACACCAACATCTGTATTTCTTAGTCTGAGGGCTTTCTTGGACCTCAGCCTATTTTCCCAGCTTGTCTACATCAGAGTTCTTCCAGGAGTTTGTGTATAAACACCCTGGCTCCCTCAGTCCTCCAGGTAGGATGACCCTGAGGCATGTCTTCCAGAGGCCAGCTGCCCAGAGCATAACTGACTCACTCACAGCTTTTGCTGGCTGTCATACTTCTCTATTCCGCTAGTAATGTTTTCTGGATTACACCCCAAAGAAACTCCACTGAGTCTCCCAACTACTTACATCCAAATACTTGCTTCAGCATCTGCCACTGAGGGAGCCGAACCAGCTATCTTTAATCATTTTAATCTAACTAAGCATTTGTCCCCCATTGTTAGCACAGACTTGTGCTTGAAATAGAATGAAAATAAGCCAAATATCACCAACTAGCATTTTACCAGTGTGAAATTCAGACACTATCTGAGTCTCTAATACCTTTCTGAGTGAACCATGATGAAGAGCAAGTTTCTCTTTCCTACACAAGTAGGATTCAGTGGCCATTTAGCAGGGCATGCTTGTTTAAATAGCCATCATACTTTAATGCATGGCATTTTCAATTGCTCCCTGTGCTTCTGAAAGCTGGACAACTAATAAGGAAGACCAAAGAAGAATCGATGCCTTTGAATTCTGATGTTGGACAAGAGTCCTGAATATCCCATGGACTGCCAAAGGAACAAAGAGATCTTGAAGGAAGTGCAGCCAGAATGCTCCATAAAGGATCTTGACGCTTGGTCTCACATATTTCAGATGTATTTTCAGGAAGGCTTAGTCCCTGGAAACAGACATCATACTCAGAAAGATAGAGAATCAGCAAAAGAGAGGAAAAGCTTCAACAAGATGGATTGAAACAGGTCTACTGTAATGAGCTTGAATGTGACAGATCGTGATGGTGGCACAGGACAGGGCAAGGTTCAGATCTGTTGACCATCAGGTTGCTATGAGTTGTAGTTGATTCAATGGCACCTAACAACAACAACTATTAATTAGACAAAGGATGTGCAAGGAAAAAACTTTTTAATTAAGACTTCATTGGTGATGCCAGATGGGTCAACTATGGTCTAATTCAAACAGAAATTCTAACTATTAGCATTTGCTCTTAAAAAAAAAAAGAGAGAGAAGAAAATAATTTAAAGACTTCTCCATCCCAAAGACATTTTTTCCATTTGAGCCTGGACATTCTAACAGCCTTTTTCTCCCAGTTTTTTCTTGTTTGCCTTTGACTTTCCAATTGTAGTCTCCACAATGATGGCGGTCTCTTCATATGTCTGAACGCTCTCTGATGAAAACTTCTCAACGGATTCTACCACTTCCACCTTCTCATACGCCAGTGCCTTAGGAGGGCTTTTCCCCAGCAAGCCACTGCTCCTCGCCCCACGCCCCTCAGAATTATCCTGGCTGGTCCCAGGTTTTTGCAGTTGGGGTGCTGATGGTTCTTCTGGACCAGAAACGATGACATGACAGGGCACCCCAGCCTTGCGGCCCTCATTCTGTTCATCACGTGGCTCCGTGGGCCCTCTACTCTTCTCGTCACTTATCTCCCCAGGTCCTTGCTGCTCTTTGGCATTTGTGTCCTTCTGCTTATCTCTGGGGTGCTGGTCACCATCTGTGTCCTGCTTGTCTGTGGGGTGCTGGTCACCATTTGTGTCCTGCTTATCTCTAGGGTGCTGATCACCATCTGTGTCCTTCTGCTTGTCTGTGGGGTACTGTTCAGCATTTGTGTCCTTCTGCTTGTCTCTGGAGAGCTGGTCAGCATTTGCGTCCTTCTGCTTGTCTGTGGGGTGCTGGTCACCATTTATGTCCTGCTTATCTGTGGGGTGCTGGTCACCATTTGTGTCCTTCTGCTTGTCTGTGGGGCTCTGCCCATCTTCCTTTCCCTGGGAATGCCCCTGCCCGTTCTCCAAAAGGGGCTTAGGCTCCTCAGGAGTGGGCTCCAGAGCACTGTCCTGATGCATAGAGTCTTCCTCAATGGAAACAATCACCCCACCTTTGGGCTGGATAGAAGAGGGACAGAAGTCAGGGTCCACATAGCTGGCATCCCCTGTGACCAGCACATATCGTCCTTTGGTAAAGAGGTCAGCTGGGGGCTCAGGCTCTTTGGGGCTTTTCACTCGCTCCTTGATCATATTGCATAGTTTTCTGAAGGCTTTGCTCACCTGGCCTCCATCAGGCACGTCCTCTGGAGACCCTTCTTGTATTGGGGGGCTTGTTTTCTCAAACCTTGAGACAAGCTTCGATTCATCTTCTTCTTGAAGCATCACCTGGACCTGCTTGGTGCCTTCCAGACTGCTTGGTGGTGCATCTTTTAGAGTTTGATCTGCTCTTTCTTTAATTATAATCTCTTTTTTCTTTGGAACATTCTTGAGGGGGCTTTTTTGTCTTGGTTTTGCTGTTGTTATATCCTGTACAACTCTGGTGAGATCTTAAAAGGAGAGAGAGAGAGAGAGAAAAAATAAATAATAAGTATAATGGTTAATAAAAGGAAAAGAAAATACACTCATTCAAAAACTATTAAGTTTAGAAATAATATTCATTTTTTATTCCTACGGCCAAATTCATTTCTTTAGACTAGCTGAAAGGGAAAACTAAAAATTTAGAAGAACACACAACAATCCCATCCTATCTTCCTGTAGGGGCCATTTCTGTTCCACTTCACCCACGCAATGATGTCTGCATTTGTTCTGTCCTAAAGTCTGTCCATCTCCTCTCACGGTTATCCATTGCATTGAGAAAGACAGACAACACAATGCTATAGGGTGGATTGACTCAAAATGGTGAGAGCTAAGTAAGTGGAAGGGCCATCAAACAACAAGAAGGGGTTATGGAGAGGGAACAGGTCAGAGGGACAGACAGCTGGGGTGTCACATGGGAAGGAAGGAGTCCTGGCAGCACAGGCTGTATAATTTGAGGGCCTGGTACAAAACAGAAGCTCAGGATTCCTTCTTCAACACTCATTATTTCAAGAAGGCAGCAGCACAGCAGTAAGCCCAGTGGAGGCCCTTCTCGGGTGGGAGTGGGAGTAGAGGCTCTTCAAAGCCAAATCCCTTCTAAGTAGCAGGAATTCCAAGCACTGAGGGAGACTGCTAGTTGTGGGGAAGAAGCTTCCAAGCACAGTGGGAGGCAGGGACTATGGGAGAGACGTTCTTCTGAGCATGGGGGTGGGGGGCGCCCTCCATAAAGGAGGCCCTGGCATGAATCACTGGTCCTGGGAGCCTGACAGCATGCCTGCCTTCTTTTCCAACAGTATTCTGACACCTTGTGAGGAGCCTGGATTTAAGGGTCTGGGGGGAGGGAAGCCTTTGAAAGATGGGCAGCTGGCATTACCATCTCCTCTTTAGGAAATGCTGTGCTGGCTTGGAACCAGGGAGATTTTGATGTCTGACATTCCAAAGGTATGTGAAACCATCTGGAAAAAGACCTAATGTTAAAGGCTGCAGCTACATTTGCTCAGCAACCCTATTTCTACTGGGTTATGAAAAGAACAGAAAGCAGCAACACAGATCTGCATTAATCACCCTACACAAAAGAGCACATTTAATTGGGGGAACCAAACCACGCAAAACCCTAAGTCAGTTGTTTGTTTCAGCAACTTGAGTTTAGGGGTTTCTTCAGAGCGACCTGTTGCACATCCAGGTATGGAATTCACGGGGCCACCTAGCTTCCAGCTTGATTTTTCTCCTTGCAAATGCCCTTGCTCAGTCTTTTAGCACTTACAGGTTCCTAGCCTGAGAGGAGGAGGAAGAAAAGATTCACGCAGAATCATTTAACTTCCATATGGACTGGCAAGGAGCTTGAATGTGAATGGCAGGGGAAATGCCACTTCCCCCCCCCCTATTTTTGACACAACAGAAGAGATCAGGCACTATGGTTACCTTTCCCATCAGGATGAAGGCTAAGGGAGGCCTTGGGGCACTCAGTGAGGAGGACGATGGAAGTTTCCATGAAGGTGGAGTTGAGCCTGGTGGAAGGAACCAGAAAGAGTGTGGCTGCCATCTTTGTCACACAAGGCCAAAGAGATGGCCCAAAAGCAAAAGTGATAAAAAGGGCCCTAAATAAAATTTCTCAAATATTATATACAACTTAAAACAGATATGCACATTCAAATCAACACACTGAATGGAAATGTAAAGGAAATAAACACACCTTTGAGCTCAAGTGATAATCACTGAAACAAACGTATTGAAAAATTGTAAAGTGGGGAAATTTCACAATGTAAAAGTGACTCTTCACTGTTGAGAGGGTTTTTACTTGGCATTTAAAGAAAGGATGGCCCATACAGGTCAAAACATTTAAGGCAGAGTCTACTTTCTCTAACTTATTTTAAAATAATATACATTAGCTGTAAGAACAGTAGGGAGCTCGAGTGGCTTAGTGATAAGGATTTGCAACTCAAAGGCAAGTGGTTCGAAGCCACCAGTGGCTCCTCAAGGAAACGATGAGCATTCTCCTCCCAAACAATTTAATGTCTCTAGAAACTTGTAGGAGAGTCAGCTATAGGTCAGATCTGGCTCGAAAGTACATAATCGAAGGACAGTGAAGGGAAAATGACATAATAAGGGAGGCAAAATGTAGGTAATTAGTGAGTCAGGGTAAAAAGCATGCAGAGCCCTCTGTTCTATTCTCAGACCATTTCTCTCCATCTGTCAAAATTAAAATAAGCATATCCAAAAAAATGAAAAAGAAGAAACATATCCAGTTACCTTCCTGTGAAGGGGTAGAAGGGCCAAGGAGTATCTCAGAAACAAAAATGTTCACAAGGACATTGATACTTTAGTTTATGACTGTTTTTATAAATGTGAGCATAAAGCTTTAATAGTAACAGAAGCAAACAAAGGTCATCTTGCTTCTCCTACTAAGCAGGAAAGCCCTGGAGCCCAGACACAGCACCCCACGTGATGGGAAGAACTGACGCTTAGGGGCCCTTCAGGTGTTTCTCTTTCAATTCAACCTGAAACCAGAAAGTAGTACAGTCAATGTGTTCCACTGTTAAGCAAAAGGCTAAAGGTTCAATTTTACCCCGGGGCTCCTTGAAAACGAAAAGTCCTGTGATATAAAACCAGCCAATGGACTCCTCACGGAGCATGCTTCTACTGTGACATACTTGGGCGCACCATGAGACACCAACCCCCTAGCAATTGGTATATAAATCCAGAAAATAAGCAATATTGAATAGCGGAAGCATAGCTTAGAATCAGGATCCTTAGGATCTGACTGTCTCTAAACTTTTGTATGAAAGTTGTCTACATATAGATATGGATAATGTTATGAACTGAATCACACCCTTAAAAAATAAATTGTAGAGTAGATTATATTTGGGGCTAGGGGGTGGGGTTTGGTGAGGTGCGGGGGAGGGGGATTGTGTACCAATGAGGGAGTTTTTCTTTTGCGTTTCAAGGAGAGGAGCAAATAGGGGGGAGGGGGGAGGGGTTTGTGCGGGGAGAAGGGTGCAACAATGAATGAATGGAATCCCAAAATCTCTGTAGATGTTCATTGAAATGAAAAATAAACAACCTAAATTTAAAAATAAATAAATGTCGAAATCCAAATCTCTGTATCTATAAACATGATCCTGTTTGAAAATAGTAGTTATTTGTTATATTAATGAGATCACACCAAAGTAGGGTGGGTCATTCATAAGTCTAATCACTTCTGAGTCATAAAATGACCAGAACAAACAAAGAAGTACACACAGCAGGAAGGCCAAGGAAAGCCTTCAGACCCTACAAAAAAAAGAACGGTTAATTGAAGGATTCAACATGGCTAAGACATTGGTTTAGTCTATGAGCTCCTAGAATTAAGGTACTTGAGAAAATACACTTCTATACTTTTAAGTCACTCACTGGTGGTATTTTTGTGACTGCAGCACTAAATAACTAAGACAGACATAGATAAGGATGTGGATTACAGATGTTGCTACAGATGTGTACACAGGCATAACTAGGGGTTACAGGTTTAGATGATAAGGATATAGATAAAGATCCAGAGGTGTTTCCCAACAATACTGAAATGGGCTACAGGTGATGAGAGATATTAAAGTCACAGTTCAGTTATGGAAAACAAAGTATCTAATAGCCACATTATTGAAGGTAGGAATGCTCGTCAGTATTTATCCATTATCTGTTTTCCCTGATGGTATACAAACTCTATGAGATCACGGATTTTTGTGTTTTATTCCTGCCTACATCCACACTTTAGAAGAGGTCATGGTACTAGGGATATTGTAGCTGATGTTAGATGGAAATTAGCTGAAAGCAGGGAATACCAGAAGAATGTCTATCTGTGTTTCATTGATTACGCAAAGGCATTTGACTGTGTGGATCATAACAAACTGTGGCTGACTCTGAGAAGAATGGGAATCCCAGAACACTTAATCATGCTAATGTGAAACCTATACCTAGACTGAGAGGTAGTCATCAGAACAGCAGGGTAACACTGCATGGTTCAAAATTGGGAAGGGTGTACACCAGGGATGTGTTCTATCTCCATACCTTTTCAACCTGTATGCAAAGCGATTATCTGAGAGGCTGGGCTCTATGAGGAGAAGTATGGCATCAGGATTGGTGGAAGATCTATTAACAATCTGCATTATGCAGATGACACAACCCTGCTTGCTAAAACTGGGGAGGACCTCCTGCACTTGCTGCAGAGGGTCAAGGACTGCAGCCTTCAGTATGGACTGAGGCTCAATGTCAAGAAGACAAAGATTCTCACCACTGGACCAATTGGTAGCATCAGGATGGATGGCGAAGAGATTGAGATCGTTCACAGCTTCAGTTTGCTCAGCTCGGTCAACACTCTTGGCACCAGCAGCCAGGAAATCAAAAAACGTATTGTGATGGGAAAGTCTGCTGTTAGGGACCTCTCTAAAGTACTCAAGAGCAACGGTGTCTCTCTGGAGACTAAGGTGCGCTTGATACAGGCCATGGTCTTTGCAATCACTTGTTATGCATCAGAGAGTTGGACAATGACTAGGGAGGACAGAAGGAAAATTGATGCCTTTGAGCTGTGGTGCTGGAGAATATTGAATGTACCAAGGACTGCCAAGAAAACAAACAGATTCTTCATGAAGAGGGTTAAACCAGGCTACTCCTTGAAGTCAAGGCTTCTGGGGCTTCATCTGACATACTTTGGACATGCTGTAAAGAGAGACAGATCCTTGGAGAGGGACATCATGCTTGGTAGGGTGGCGGGACAGCACAGGCGGGAAAGACCCTCTCTGAGGTGGACTGATTCAGTGTCTGGGGTGATCGGGATGGGCGTATCAGAGGCAATGTGATTGGCACAGGATAGAGTAGGGTTTAGGGCTGTTGTCGCAAACGACTCGACGGCACATAACAACAACATCCACACTGAGCCTGGCTCATGGCTGTTGTCAGCTGCTGTTGAGCAGGCCCTGAAGCATGGCTACCCTGTGTCAGAGCAGAACTGTGCTCCAGGGGGTTTTCAGCTTGGTTTGGGGAAGCACATCAGCAGGGCTTTCTCCTGAAGCAATGCTATGTGGGTCTGAACTGTCAATCTTCTGGTTAGCAGACTACCATGACAGACACCTGACAAATGCCCAGTGTGCTCCCTTAGCAACCTTACCTGTTTCCTTCATTCTCAATGATGCGTTGATACCGGTCCAGTTCGTTCTTCAAGGTGTGCTGGGCTACCACCAGCTGCCGGCAGTCATATGAAGACCGCTCCAAAACCTTCTCAGTCTCTTCAATCTCCTTCCGCAGGGCTTCAATCTGGTCATTGTAAAGCTGGATCTCTCCATCAAAACACTCATGAGCATCTTTAATAGCTTGTTCCAGGCTCGCTGTCTATGAACAAAGACACAGTCACAAGGGGAACCATCACTTAGCTCACTAGAACGAGACCTCCTAGAGAGTCCTGCCTAAGGGAATGAACTGCATTTTCCCTGTCAGCTTTTCTGTCAGTGAGAGGCAAAAGAGGACCACTTTAGAATCCTTAAGTCAAACAGGAACATGAAGTCTGGCTCATGTCTCCTGCAGCAGCTGAACCCTCTGAGATCAGTAATGATAGGTACCAGACCCCAGGATGGCCAACCTGGAAAGTGAAAGGCACCCTGCTGACCATGGACAAGCGTAACTCAAAGTCAAAGGCACTCTTCATACTTCAATAATTTCATGTGAATCTGATAGTCAAGAAAGTAAACACAACAAACTAAAAAACAAACATATACTTGTTAGAGCTGCAGAGCTGCTTCCCCTTCCTTTCCCAGGATATCCACTGAAACAATCCAACCACAGGACGCAGCAGCTGGGGCTCTGTTTCTCTCTGTTAAGGATGCTAAACTGTCCTAATTCCATTTCCCAGCAATTGTTATCTGAGATCCCAACCTGTTTCCTTATCTTGTAAAATAAACTGTACATAAACATGTTCATAAAATGAACATCCCTTTCCCCAGTTTCATTGTAAGACAATATAAAACCCCTCGCTAACTTTAAGTGGGGGCTAGTCTACTTTGGAGTCAGACCAGCAGTTTCTCCTCAATAAACTGTCTTTCTTGGCCTGAATTGGGTTCTGTCCTTCCTCTGCGACCTTACATTTTTGGTGCCAAAAACTCAGGAGGGGCACCTGCCAGGGGGCAACAAACCCTGATTCCCTAACTTTCCCTTTCTTTCTCCTGCTCTCTCTCTACCTCCTTGCAAGTCTAACCCACAGAGACTAGAGACCTCTCCCCAGATCACTAATAAGCTCAGTGGAAACCAGTGACAGGCCTGTGCCTCCTATTGCTTATGTGAATTGGAGTCTGCCCTGATTCCATATTGAGATTCCCTGGAAACTCTGCAAAACTCTGCCTCTCCACTACATAACCTGTCCCTCTATCCTGGCTTAAAGGTATCTGGGATGTGCTAGATCACCCTAATTCTTTTCACTTCTCCACGGGCTTGATCTGCCTCCTGACTGCCCCTCTTTGAACTACCAAGAGGATGCTCTTCTCCAGGGCTTTCTACCTCTTGCCATTGCTGGCCTTCCAATCAACACCAGGTCAATTTGGGGTAAGTAGCAATGGTTCTCTTCTAGTGGGTCTCCTGCTCTCTTCAGACTCTAAAAGTCCTAGCGCTAGGCCAGGCAGATCCCTCAGCCCAGGTGGCCAGTCTCTCCAGATGCTGGGAATGTCTACATCATGAGTAGACCTTTTTCTCATGAGGACAAAAGAGAAATAGGAGATGTCTTATTTCCTTAAGTCTCTTTTTCTCCCTCTGGGAACCTCCACTACTTGTCCCTTTTTCCTAGTCATGGAAGCCTTTCTTGGAACACTCCATTGAGATGTCTCCTCTGCTCCCTTGGTACCCTCTTAATGTGAGATACCATTACATCCAAGACTTGTGTTCTTTTTTTTTTTTTTAATACAGCATGGCCCAATATCAATTGGATAATGAGTCTCAGTGTCCTAAAAATGGGACAGTAGATTCTAACACTCTCAGAGACTTTGACAATTTCTGGGGGTGCAATGGCAAGTGGTCTGAATTCCCCTACATTCAGGCTTTCTTTGCTCCACTTTCTGTCCTCTCTATCAACACTGCCATACATCAAATTCTTTTAGCTCTTTCTAAGCTCTCTCCTCTTCCTGATGAAAACTCCTCACATTTGATCCCTCTGATCTCTCATTACCACCTACCACTCCTGCTCTCCCACCTCTGTCACATGCAAATGTAGCCTCGACACAGGAGGTCCCCTTCATGTCCACCTAGGATTCAAAAACCTCCTCTCTTTTCCTCCCCTCTCACCTGTAATAGTCACTCCTGGTTGGCCCCACCAACACAAAGTTCCCAGCCAGGAACTGAAACCAAACATTTTCTCTCTCTGATTTTTTTTCTCTCTCTCCTTCTCAACTTATTCTGCTTAGCCTCTTAAATCCTCACAACTAACCTCCTATTTAAAAGGAAATCTGCAATTAACTATCACTCTCCTTTTCTAACCCTAACCTGCAAACAAAACTTCACCTTCCCTCCTTCTCTGATCTCAACCCAGCAGATAATCTCCCATACCATCCTCCCTCAGTGCTGCAGCCCGAAACACACTGGCAAATCCACCAAGCTCCTGTGCTCTTCCTCTCTCTCAAGTAGCAGCTGTTATAGCTACAGGAAATGGCAGCAATAAACAAACAAAAAAGTTTACAAAGATGTGTGTGTGTGTGTTGGGTTTGGGGTCTTTTTTTTCTCTTAATAAAATAAATGTAAACGTTTTGGGGTTTTGTTTCTATTTTCCTTATAGTATTTTACTACCCATCTTAAATTATCAGCCAGAATTTTTTAAAAACTCCAAATTTAAAGAACTCTACAACTTTTCAAATTCACTAACTTAGACCCTAAGTCTCATAAGGAAAAAAATAGTGCTAAATTCCCATTCTATCAATCAGTCTACCCCTAACGTTAGGAAAAAACCCTCAGAAAAAGCTTTAGGCTATAAAAGTAACTCAAATTCATTTTTAACTGCTACTATTTCAGTGTTCAACAATTAAAAAAATAGAAAATAAGGACTAGCTAAAAGCCAAATTTCTTCTTTTTTTAAAGCCAAATTTCTTAAAGCTGCTATTGCAGAATACTTTTCTCATCCAGTAAGTGTGTCCCAAAAAACTCAAACCAAGGCTTTCGCTTCCATTGTAAAAAGCCTCATCATGGTCACATAAGCCATAAATATGCTTCAAACAATGAGTGAGTTTTTCTTTTGCTTTTCAAGGAGAGGAGCAAGTGGGGGGGGGGAAGGGTTTGTGCGGGGAGAAGGGTGCAACAATGAATGAATGGAATCCCAAAATCTCTGTAGCTGTTCATTGAAATGAAAAATAAACAACCTAAATTTAAAAAAAAAAAGTAATAGGAAAGAAGGGTAGCCGTCTGTCACTTGCTTCCAATGCCATTCTCATAAACACCTAGCTCAGTAATGCTTCAAGTGTCCTGGTGGCAGAAGAGCATCAGACTGATCGAATCCTGGGTCCCTCCGAGCCACAACAAGTGATCAACACAGAATCACCATATGCCTGAAGAAGCCTTGAATATGCATGGACATTGCTGGTAACATAACTCACTTTCTTCTCAACACTAATATAAGTTATTTAGTCTTACAATCTTTTAGTAACCTTCTTTCCCCCACCAACTTCTATTGTGAGTATTAAAAAAGAACCTACAAATAAATATAAAATTCCTCTGTTAAACTATTATTTCCTTTTCAATTTCTAGTTCTATCTAAAACTATATTTTTACACCAAAAGTAAATATTAACACATTGCTGCACACTTTTTAAATTGATGACCTTGCCTAGAAACACATTTGCTGTCATTTGTGGCAACACGTTAAAGTTCTTTTCACCCCAATATTTCAAATAGTATTAAAAATTAATAATTTAATGCCAGTAAGCCTCAATGTACCCCCAAAGTTAAGAAGTACATAACCAGTTGTTTAAAATAATAACTAACCTTTAATAACAAACTTTCTCCTAAAAGTATACAAAACCTAGTACCCATCAATTAAAACTCACCCATCTAATTAACTCAGAAACCTATATTAAACACTTCTAAATATTACTTTTCAAATTCTACATCATACCAGCCCAGCCCTTACTAAAAACTCTTAACTGTTAACTGCTACAACAGAGAATAGTTGTAGCCACTCCAGTTCCATCAATTAAAAAATTAGACCTCAAACTCAGAGTAACTCTCATAGGTCAACTAGCAGACAATTGTAATCTTTCTTCCAACCTCAAATGTTACCTGCTTACTTCTAATTAAGCACAAAAACAGCAATGTTTCTTCTTCTTACTGTAATTGCACCCTTCCATTGTCAAATAATATCATTCAATGCTCTACTTCAAAAGTATTCTTTGTAGCAACTCGGCTTACAGCTGCTTGCAGACCAACTGAACTGGAGTCTGCATAAGTACCTTCTTCAGCTCTTTCACAGTAATTTTCTTAATCTTAATGTTTGGTCCTTGCCTCATACAATTTTTCTCTCGTTTTCTATAGGAGTGGATGAAAGCCTTTGGCAACCACACAGTCCGTGAACTCCTCATATTATCAACTGGGTACCAACCATTACCCTCCATCATCACACCTGCCAACTCCACTGCCTAAAACCAACAGTCTCCCCGCCTCATTTTGATCGTTGCCCCCACCCAACAGGAAGTAGATGCAGAAGAGAACCTCAATGGCCCCAATCATATAACAAAAGGCTGGAATACTAAACCTCCAGAGCTGCTCTCCCTTCCTTACCCAGGAAATGATCTAACTACAGGAAGCAGCAGCTGTGGCTCTGTTTCTTTCTGTTAAGGATGCTAAACTTTTCTACGTCTGTTTCCCAGGAATAGTTATCTGAGATCCCAATCTGGGGTCTTCCTTATCCTGTAAAAAACAAAAGCAAAAAAACAACTGAGAATATCCCCTTCTCTAATTTCCTTGTATGACAATATAAAAAACCCCTCTCTAGCTTTGAGTTAGGATGGGTGTCTACTTTGGAGTCAGCTCCACAGTTTCTCCTCAGTAAACTGTCGTTCTTGGCCTGAACTGGGTTCTGTCCTTCCTCAGCAACCTTACAATACTAGAGAAGATGCTCTTTCACTAAAATAATTACAAGAGAGGGAGGTAGTTTCCTGTTCTTATTCAATCACTAAGGTGCTTTAATTTTCTCCTAATTTTGATCAGTATCATTATACTTAAGCTTTATCATTATACTTAAAACACGTGTCTTTGTGCATTCATGTATACAGAAATTACTTAGGAAGACATTACTTATATGTTAACCAAGAGCAAATTAAAAAATTAAGGCAGAAAAATAGAAAGGGTCGTGTTTTTCCCTTTCAA